AAAGTTAAGAAAACCCATAAGTTTCGTTTATTCAAGTCAGCGTGAATGTCATGTAATCTGAAAGCCCTTTTCTGTGGCACATTTTATAATTCTTTTCGTAAGTAATTCCGCACATATTTGAAAGCGCTTTTGGAAAGTGCCTTACTGCCCGCTACTCGATCTGATCAGATGCACACAAAAAGCATGTTTGGAGGAGTCATTTGATAGCTTAATAGTGAATGAGTTCTCAAATGACTGGGCACTTGTGAGGCTATTTGGCAAAGGTTACAGATTATGGAGATAAGTAGCTTTAGCTGCCGCATTAAAATTACAGCAATATGAGGAATATGGCAGGCAGGAATGCTTACTTCTCCCCTGGATCCTGGCTGCAAAAATAAGGCGAAAATTTCCAGTTGAGTGCAATAATCATAAACCATGAAATAGGTGCGTATTCCGCAGTTGTCCAGGATCATTGGGGTTTGCACTATAAAATGCCTTTAAAACTTCTCTTCCTTCTAAATTACTCAAACATCCAGTATTCTTAAGGCATGACTTATGGTTTTAAGAAAAAAAATCAGTTAAAAAAAGGTCCTGTCATTGATCAACTCCTTTTGTGGTTCTCAGAAAAGAATGGATCTTTCATATTTGGCCATAATTGGTCTGAGAGTGTTAGCATTGGGTCATATAGCAGAACACCAAAATTTGTTCTTACGCGTTCTACCGGTTGGCCCTGGTTATACCAACGAATGTGCTGGGATGGAAAATGCAGCATTTGTTAGAGGCGTAGAGTAGTGTTGCAGTACACGAGCATATACCACTGAGTATGGCATTCCTTCTTCACAGATTACTCGAGCATTAAAGCTTTTACAAATCTGCGGTCCATCATAATGGCAACAACTTACGGGAGGTTGTGAAGGGTAATTCTATAATTATTGAAAAAATGATTCCAATTATAATGTCTGCTAAATAATTGTGTCGAATGCTAATTGCTAACTCGTGATTATTACAAAGAAAAGCCACTAGAGGCAAAAAAACACACCTTCAAACGGCATAAAATGTTGTACAGTGTCATTTCCCAGCAATTCCTTTAATTTTTTACTTACCAAATTGCCATTCTATTTTAAAGTGAAGAAAATCCATTTAAATATAGGGTGGTACTACACTAAATGGTGAGTTTAACGGCTCTTACTCCGTACGGCATATCGCCTAAAACAGAAACAAAGGCGATCAACGTACAAACGTGTGCATAAGGGAATGTCATACACAATCGACTACGTTTGGTAGGCTTTTCAAATCAAGTGCCCGATGCTTTTGTAGAATGGCAGTGCCTATAGGATGCGGGAGATGTCCGCATTTTCGAAAAAGGCCCATGCTTTTGGCAGGACGCATGAATGTAAATGCAGTTAACATTTCTAATTGCAGAGCATGTCCTTACGCACGTTAACACTGATGGAGTTGGATCAGCAAAGCGTGTAATTCCCCACTAGTGACTAAGGTATCATTGAATGTCTTGTTTTTCTCACCAGTATAAAAAGAACCCTTTACACCGGAGTTGTAGCCTGCAGAATACGTGGGGTTTCTCGGTCGGTACCAGTCAGCTGAAATATTTCCAATTGTTACTCTTAATGCACAGGGTAAAATTGGACTTTAAAAAGGGGGATTTAATTTATTACAAATATTGAATCAGAACACTTGTTTTAGTGCGCTTTTCAGTTGCAATATGCTTATTGCAGGAAATTATTACATTTTCAATAAAAGAAGTCAACAATCGACTTTTTTATCTCCTACTTGAAAAAGCAATATCCCTTACATGTATAATTCCACCATTACAACTAACTTTCCACTCTGATTTTATGTACGGAGACAAAACAACTCGGACATTATGTAAAAATGTAGCATTAAAGGATAGCAAGATTTGCATTGAGCAATTTTCAAGGGGCAAATGGAGGTATTACCTCATAATAACATAATTAGTTTTAAGAAAGCAAATATTGCCAAACTAGAACTAGATTAAGAAGTCTCAAATCCCAAATAGTGAATACAAACTCTACCTGAGTCGTAATATGCTACATTTCCGTTGCTGGTGCTGTACGGCTGACCAACTAGAAATGCGTGGGATAAAAGTGTTAGCGATTGCATCTTCATCTTGCTCCGCGCAGCAAACGACGCAGCAGTTGAGGTGAGTACATCATCCTACATCTCAGTACCAACAACACTTTAGGTGTCGCTTTGGATAAAATCTACAGTGTCTCTACTACTACCATTATTGCAACTAAGTATTGACAAATTTACAACATTGTAAAATCGCTGACAACATACCACTTGAGTATCCATAATAAGAATCTGAGTCATCTAAAACGGAACCATTGGTCTCAGCAGAAAGACTCGTGAATTTTGGCTTCAAAGTTTAGAAAGTAAAAGGTACAACTCACCGAAATAGTTGCCTGATAAAGGAGAAGAATTTAAATTAAAACCGTAACTTTAGTTTCCTTTTAATAAGCTCAGTTACGCCTCTTCTGTGTTCATACTAGTGCTTTTTACTTAGCTACAGATCAAAACAAAACTTACGGGGTCCGCTGAGCTGTGGAGCTGCAAAGTAGTGAAAATCGAGGAGTCATCAATCATGTGCATCGACAATGGTGTCTTTTAAATGTAGGCGCCAATAATCAGATGTCCTCATGCCTTGATGGTTGTTGTCGATGGAATCCAGTGATATCCCCATTTTTCGATTGAAAGCTTGTAAGTGAATTTGTGTGCATTTATGAGGGTTTCTACACTTTAAGACCGGCTGAAGATTATTGTGTTTACAGCCAATTGAGGTGAAGGTAAAGGGTGAGCGAGTTTAGTGCAAGAAATTGCTGATTACTTGGCAGCAGCGATCAGCCCTAGACCTCTTGCTTAGAGGCGATCAAAGGATATTATATTCTGATCACTTTGATCATGTCAGTGACTTAAAAGCAGCTTTATCTGCTGTAATTCTAATATAAAATTGAATTAGTATTTGCTTATGAGAAGGGGAGAATGTGTTTATTCTAATAGTACTATAGAAACAAAAAGTACCTTCTCGAAGTCTTGTGCCTCCAGTGCTTCGATAGCCCCCTAAAGTGGTAGTGATTGTTAGGTCAAACCTTATTCGGCAATGACAGCATCACTTGGTTATAGCCTAATCTCACTTAAATTTCAAATGATTAGCTACACTGTTGAAAATTCAAGTGTTTATGTGAAACCAGGCGCTCAAATTTTTGTCGACGGCTTACCCTGATACCAGTCGTCACCTGTATACAATATAACAACGGTTAATAATATTTAATTGTTTGTTTTTTTGTGCCCTCACTTTCCTATTCTGGCTCACACCGATTTTGGCCTCGCTTTTTTCCGATCTCAACCTTAACGGCCGTGCTGGGCCAGAATCATTCCTGCTGGATGATTTCTGCAGTCACTGAATGCATAATTTGGCGAGAGATGGTAAATAGCGTAATAATCAAATGCAACACTGAACGGTCAAGTGGTGGATAAAGTATAAAATGCATTTTCTCTAAGGCACAGTCACTTATTTTGATCGGCATTTTAAAGACGCATTTGAGAAACGTCTCAAATGAAATGCAGGTGTATTTAGTTTGCATACTTTTTGTTTTCTCTGAATTGACTTTATTGTCATTAGGAAGGGTGTTGTTTGCTGCTCCGCTTGCTTACCTGAATTAAAATGTCGATCTACCATGCTCTAAAAGCAAATTAGAGTATTTTTTATAATATGGGGAGGAAATTTGAAGAGAATGAAAACATATTTGCGTTAATGTTTCGTGTTAAAATTTGACAAAACTATTTTTGGCTAATTTTAGGTTATTAGATTAAAGGAGCTTAATTAATTTGAGAAGAATAATTATTTTGTAAATAGTAAAATCCAATGTTTACCTAAACCTCAACGTCCTTCGATGGAGTTAAGGCTAGTTGTTAAACTGTGGCCCAAAATTTACCATTCGATGTTTCAAAAAGAGTAGCACCAGTTTTATGCTTCTTAAGGTGAATTCATTTGAAGTAGGTAATGTTTTTAATAGTGCGCACGGAGAAATCGTGCTCAAAAATAATGCTTGGCATGACGGGCTTCAAATGACATCACATGAAGAGCTGTGCTTATTCAGAGTGGTTGCGTACAAGACAGTCATGATTAACCTACAACACCAACTGTTGGAATAATCTTGACCAAAACTACTTCTTTTTGCAAATTATCATGATTTCGGTTCACCCAATACTTTCCATTACACCAAAAAACCTCACAACAGTAATTCTTGCGGAGATCTGAGTTCTCGCACATTAATATTTCTCCTTCAAAACGCATGCGCAAATTGAACTATTAATGGCCGCGGTATTGGGTAAAATATTTTGCATTATACCTAAACAGAAGCATTTATATTCTTGCAAATGTAATAATCCGAATTAAATGTCTTTTGTACTGAAAACACAACTGCCACAATGAAACTGCAAACTTTTACAACCTTTTTCGTAATTACTTATTAAACCTTACCATATTTAAGAATAAGAATTTCATGATAAACAGACTATCCGCAATATAACGATGGAGTATCTCGGTTTAGCACGCGACTCGATTATTTAACTAGTTAGAGGGTTTATGAACAAAATGAAAGTAAAACTTAACAGAGAAAATCGAAGAAATGAGCAGATGGATAGGCGGACTTACTTACACCCTATGGAGGGTAGGATGGAGCGCTTGACGTGAAATTAAATGCTCGCGGGCACAGTGTGGCTCGCCGAAGGAATCACCTCTTCCCCATTGGTTGAGCCACCCACCTCATGCCTTCGCGAAGCGCCGACATCACGAGTTACCTGCTCCGCTCGTGCGTCACCAACATGAAATGGCTTTTGTGATTCGGCTTTTTTTGTTTGGAGTGCTTTGCAGTAAATGACGCAGCTATTAGTTAAGGCTTAGCAGGCCAATTAGTCCCCTACTAAAGAATATCCCCATTCTAAATTGATCGTTTCGATAAGGAATCCTGAAGATAACTTTACCAAACTCACACTTAACTCACTTCTCAAGCGCTATCCCCTGTAATTTTTCAACGCTCTACAATCACATTTATAAGACGACTCTATAGATTTACTTGAGTTTTGGCTCAGTGCTAGACCATTCAATTTGTACTTTGTCTGATGTCAAGGGAGTTCACAAACTTGTAAAGAGTTAGAAGGCATAATGAGAGAAAGGTCTTATGCAGCGCTAGTGTGATTATGTGAGTCTTCGGACTCTTCTCCCTCTACGTGTTAGGGGTCTACACTGACAAACGTAACTGATGTCATTGACATCCTTAAGAACTTATTCACTCGGTCAGTGCAAATTCGATCACCGTGTTTCTTAGCGATTGCCACAACCGGAATTCGGCATATTCAACATCTCTGCCTAGACATACAAGTAATACCCCAGTACATTCCCCACATCTTTCTTTTGCTACCCGAAAAATCGGAATAAAAATATATGTACATTATAACTAACGGTTCCATTTAAATGTGCCATTTTTAGTGTCTAAAATAACTAGGTCGGGAAATGATTAGCATTTTGAAAAGTTGACTTTCATGTAATAGCGTTAGCGTAATGCGTTGAATATCTAACTCTCGAATAAGGGAAAGAGGCCACTTTGAGCATCCGCCTTTGTATCTTTGCTTGTCAATCTAGCCTCCGGCCATGCCGGTAGCTTTAGGTCCTGATGTACGTCAACAGTGCATATTCTGCCCGAGTATCATGTCTTCTTTCGTCTTTAGCAGAGTTTCAGGCTGCTACATTAGTTTATCTATCTCAACAATTAGATATTTCAAAATGTGTTTTAGAATCAGCGGTGCCCGATGCAGCTGATATGAGAAATCGCTGCCCTGAAAAGCATTAAGTTAGTTTTATTTTCACTATTTAGCCATCAACTGGAGACGAAATTAAAAACTGCACCTCTATAAGCATGACTGCAGAATGTAACAAGGGTGGTGTATGGAGCTTATCAAGTGCAGCAAGTGAGTCTTGGAATTGCTCATTAAATATCACCGGTTGCCTTAACAATAACTTTGAGCTGTAGAACTCATGACTAAATTATTCCTTCTACCCATAACACCTCAATAGCACCTATTGCAGTCTTTTTCACCCTAAACGTAGACCGGTTGGTTGTGAATGCTAACGTGATCGATGATGATTTCAACAGGATTCCTTCTCACTTTTAATGAGGTAGCCTCTCCTATTTCCGGAAAACGAAATATTTGGAATTATCTAGGAAGCTGAAAGCCTCTTTCCCAGGATGTATCACGACACCATACGGTAAATATCAGATCAAATGCAATGCATACTAATTATATTAAAAAGTAATTTAGTCCTACCTTAATTAAAATAATAAAAATTTGTGTAAGTAGAATAAATGCTAAAAGTATTCGCATATTATATTTGAATTTTTCCACTTAAACATCTGGGGACAATGAAATGTAGTCCAGTTTCGTTTCCGGTTAAAAAAATTGTTCCTTCATTAATTTACCAAAGAACGAGAAATTCCGCTATCCGTAGAGAAGCATTAACCATTTTTTTACAAATCATGCATTCATTGCTGTTTGATAATACAGTCATGTTATGCTTTGCTTGTTATGAAGGACGGATCGACACAGCACACTAGTAGGTGTGCACTTACCAAATGGAGAAATTCTGGGAAAAAACAAGAGATGAGAGGAATGCATTTTCAGTTAGTAAAGTTATTAGGACGAACGGATTCAGTTAATTTGCCGTAAGGTAATGATAATCAAGTACTGTTTACTCGTAGCAATAAGTAGCAAATTTGAGTCTCAAAAAATGCTTTATCAAAGATAGGCATCAATTGAATATTTGCTTGCTGGTTGTGGAGAACCAAAAAAACGACCCTAATTGCCAAATCTTAAGTGTAACCAGGTTCTGGAAATGGAAAGGCGTGACCAGCTCTGATAAAAAGTATAACTAGTTATTCTGCGAGAAAGTTTACTGCACAATTTCGAGAAGAATAAAAGCTAAGTTACTAGTGATAGTGGTAATGTGGGTAGAGAACGACTTAAAGAAAGTGGCTTTCCACTACACAGTCCCCACAAAGTGCGGCCTCTTTTGCATGACATGGCTTCCCAATTCTAAACGCCTCACCGAAATGCATTTCAAAGAAATGGGAAAACTGCCCCAATTCACATCAAAATTCCAATGAGCTAAAAAGAGTTATACTAAAATATTTATTAAAATAATACATTGAGGACAAGTTCAGGTGCTTCAACTGTACGGCAAGCAGTATTAATTCCCTGCAGTGGGGAATGGACAATTTTCCCACCGCTTGCAGTCAAATGGGCCAATCAGGCAGCAGGGCAAATCCGTGTTCGCGTGTCGAAAAGTGGTCACGATCAATGGCCGCATTGGTTCGCATCATTACGTTTCGTTTGCCCTCTTTCTCTTCCTCCTCCTACTCCTTCATTTCCTCAGGGAACCATTAATAATGGATCAATTTGCAGAAGAAAACGTCCGATCAAGATTTAACATCGGTCCCAATCAACAACTTGCCGACTTTCACTTTCGTGAGACTCGATCTGACATTCAATCCTCTGTCATCCTTCTTAGTCAGAGGGTAAAACGGCAGTATATGAGTGAATTTGTGCTGCCCGATGATACGAGGATCGCCGTTAGGCGGGTAGAGTCTTCAATGCCGGCCGATCACAAGCAAGTAGTGACCGTAAGCCTGGCTGTGAGGCATCCTTTTGACTCCGTCTTGCCGCAGTTCGTGACTACCCCAACTGGTGAAATTGATGTCTGGAAGTCAGAATGTGGTTCAACTACTACTCTAGAAACCTTGGGAGAGGCAACTACCGACAGTGGAGATGAGGTCACTTTGGAGAAGGTGGTTTCCTCTTGATATCATAATTGCAATTCCTTCAACTACATTCCTCTGATCAAAATACTATTTACCTGTGCATTGACTAGCCCAAATCATTCATCCTCTATCGGATGTGCTCTAAGGCTAAGTAAAATGGTAGCATGATTTTCCCCTTGCTATACGATGGCAAATAAGCGCGATGTGCTATCATATTTCCTGTCATCTAGGCAATTCATTTACTCATCTTGACTAGGTCATTAGAGTAGTAGTTTTATATGACATTCAGTTTGTGTCAAATTAGTTCTTTGAACGAAGAAACAAATTATTTTTATTGCATATGGTACCACTTACGTGAAAGCACACATTAAAACCACGTCTCCCCCCTCCAACCCCAGTCTCATCAAATTTCCACCGTAAGAGCTAAAACAACCTTGAGGTTAGGGCTCGTTGTAAAAACGGCAGATATATTCCGCTAGTAAAAAAACGCGCATGCAACAGACTCGTGATTTGCTTTTCAAGTGAAGTAGTTTTCCTCTCAGTTTCACCAATACCGTGTGTCATCTATGTGGTTCGATGTGGTGCCACATTTAATGACTTCGCAACCCATACGTCAATTACCTGGTTGCGTAACGGCACAAAGTGTGCATATTGATGGGCCGTTAACTCATAAACCTTAACTAGATAATCGGTTATACGAAGTATACGCTTTTGGAGATTCTAAATCGGACCAGAAGGCCCATTTGGTTTGCGCAATTTTGCCCTTACTTTGAACCGTTTCAGTCAGCGCTAAGGCTAGGCTTAATGTTAAGAAAAAAAAGCGTAGAAATGTAATACATAAGCGAAATATGCTAGAGTTAAACTCCATAAAGTAACCACAGCAGCAACAAAATCGTTGCAAAGCTATAAGCATTTCATAATTTCTTCAACATTTTGACAGGCAAGCGAAGCTGTAATCATGGTTAGATTTCTTGCCAGCATCTACTATTGGTAGACAAAGTGTTAGTTTCCAATTCCTGGTTCGTATGTTTATGTTATCATAGTCCGCCTATTCTAACTGTTCATTTTTTTAAGGTTTCAAATGTTATCAAGTGACAACAACAACACCATGGTTGCTGGAAAATAAACCTCAATGTAAATAGTGTTGTCTTGAGTTTTCTGTATCTAAAGTTTAGTATTTGGTTTTAACTGGTAAAATTTGTATTTAAATTTCAAGGTGTTAATCATTTAGCTCTCCGAAAAAGGGAATCTGCGCATTTTGGACTACCTGGACGATGACGCGTGGGCGGCAACGCTTTTGGAGTGGGACTCGGGTGCCAACGGTGAATTGCTCAGACAGCTAGAAGCTGGTTGTCGTCTTGATCCTGACTCTTTCAGAATGGAGCGTCTACAGCGTCGAAGGAACTGGAAGACAGTGGTTGATATTCAGCAGGAACCACAGACTCGCAGCCTAGGCTTCAGCAGAAATGGCAGTGAATCAGGGTCATTAAACACCAGCACAACCACCCTGGAGTGATACATCTTACTTACGTCCGCTATGGCCCTCTTTTGAGTGAGTAACACTGTTTCGCCTTTCATTTATCTGGATTTGAAAGTGCTATTTGTAAAATGTACATTTTAGAATAACGATTATACATCATGAATCCCTGCTTACGAATATTTTGCATTGGTGTTCACTATACTGTGATGACATTGTTTCAAACAAATAAATTTTTGGGGTAAGTTCAGGTCCACAATGTAAGGTTGGTAAGTAAAACTGACTCCCACAGTTCTCTCCCACGAGTCTACTGCCACGTACATATTTTCCAATGAAAAGTTCTATAGTGGTGATTTCCATTTTTTCCGATAAAAAATTTTATGTCTATAATACCAATGAAAAGCCTCTAATTAAAAATATTGAAAAAGAAGGCGTTTTGAGTTCATTTGCCCGTATTTCACACCATATTTTTGCGAAAAACCCTTTAACTACATATACGATCCTACAAATAATGATATTGGGAGATAAGAGAGCAACCCAAACACAATGCCAGTGTGACGAAGTGGACGTAAAGAACTCAGAATGACTCAAACGCAGTTATGTTATGCGCACAAATAGCTACGCAAATATAGTTATATAGTAGAATCAGGGTAGAGAATGCAGGTATTGTAAAGGCCTTGACCAACGTTACAGTTTACAAGATATTCAAGGTTCCTATTTGTCGCGCCGTTGCTTGGCCCGGAGTTGTTCTGAGGTCTTCACTAACTGCAATTCGTCTCGAGCTGTGCCTTTAACAGCAAAAGTGGAAGCGTCAATAAATTCCAAAGTATCAGATTTAGCTATAGAAATAGGAGAACTAAAA